TTTGAGTAGCAGGGTCAAAGGCTGCTCCGAGCAATCTAGTAGTGGACTCTCCAACGGCGACGGCTTCGCACTTCTTGATAACATCAGCGGCGATGGATATCTACAACCATAAACGCAAATGCCGGTAGAACGACGAGCTGGGGCCATTCTCACATCAGAAATTTCAGTATCGCCCCATCCCCAGGCGAAGTCTTCCGCGGCTTCCTTACTGCTACAACCCATTTTGGTGGCCTCCCCTGCGCACTGGCTTGAGAACGCGTATCTATCGGCGTGTCGTCTCATCTGAATCGCCTGTGGAGCGGTCGGAAACTCACCTGCCATTAACCCACATCATGTGGGGCTCGACCGGCTCACAGGACTCCGATCTGCCAGTGGAAGTCTGAGCAGGAACGGACGATGCCTCGTCATCATCATCAACACCACCGAGAACGAGACGTTCAGAGGCGGGCAGAGGGCCCAGGGTGAGAAGACCGATGATCCTAATGTGGTAAGGAAATACCAGAAGCTCTTCGGATCATCATGCTTATCGCAAGAGGCTTGAAGAGATAATCCTACCTGAACCCATCTATTAGCGACGCCCTTCACACCGTCCTTGACTAATAACATAGCCTCGGCAGCACCGTTATACGATCCTTGTGCAACTCCATCTCCCCAAAGGTCAGGGCAGCTGTCTAGGAGGCTCTTATGCATGGCGATCTGATAGGGAAAGAAGCATGAGAGTGGGTATTCCCTTCACAGGACTTACTGTCACTTCCTTGAACAGACCGAATTGCATGGCGAACTGTGAGGAGCCGCTGCGGCTTTTGCAATGCAGGGTTGAGGGCTTGTCATCACAGGAGAGTGAAAGCTCATAGTCCTTCTGTAAGTACCGGATAGTCGGCTGCACACTGTTACAAGGGAAGTCCTTTCCGGCAGGGGCCTGAGGAGCAGTCACGATAGACGGTGATGTTGGGAACGTCTAAAGTCCATTTTCATTGTGGATATGTTGTCGTTACCAGGAATTGAACCCGAGGTCTCACCGTAATGGTGCTGCCAACGATCTTCGGCGGCTTGAAGAAGGGGTCTATCTCGACCGAAGCGATGATCGCGTCTCCCGGCCCGGCAACAGCCTTGCCATCAATATCCAGCTGATGGCAGTCACGCCCATTTATCTGACATAATCGATAGAGTACTCCACCTCTAGAATCACCACGACGACGAAGGTTCATCCACTCACTCCCCAGTAGCCGCCCCACCACTTGGCCATCGTCATAGCCCTGCTCCTATCCTTGAACACGACGGTCACCTTCAAGTCCCAGTTCTCCGCGTCGGGCTCTCGTAAGTCATATCCGATGAGCCCACAGTAAGCGGTGACCCCGAACTGGGTCCCGCCATTATTGCTGGCTTCAACTGGATGAACCGGTTCTTTCACACGGTGACAGTAGAAGGACTCCGTGAAACGAATATAAGCCGACGGAATGTGAATCTGAAAGGCAGCTCCTCAGTAGCTCTGTTCGCTGAGTTCATGTGCTGGCCGTACCGAGATACGCCTAGATTTGAGCCTGCGATCCTTCCTGTCCAGGTAAGAGGCCCATCGCTCGGCGTAGGCCATCCCGAGAGGGAAGGCTGTCGCCACATCAACTCCTTTGGGTTGAATCTGTACCTCGGTTGCACTGTCACGGAAGCCGATTTGAAGCTCCTCCTGAGAACGATTCGCAATTGGAGAGTTATCCTCGCACCGCCTCGACGTCTCGTTTCACCTCCATCGGTCGATATCCAGCCCACTCGACAGCAAAGGCCATCATACTGATCTCATCCTCGAAGAGAAGCTCAGTGAAAAGGCCACTGCATTTCGCTTGTAACAGGAAGTTCCCATAGGATGCTCGCAGGCCGTTGGTCCCTTCAAGAGGCATGCACCGCATTGGCCTCGTCTCGCCATCTTCGAAGGTGATCTAAACCGCTAACTTTACCGCCGACGACGGAGAGAGTGCGATCGCCCAGCTGCTGCTCACCTCGAGTCTCTGTTTGATAGTGTTTTCTGCATCCGCAAGACTAACTTCCCCAGATGCTCTGATGACTTTAGCGATGCTGCTCTTCTCTCCGAAGACTCGGCCGTCTTTGATTTTGGTGAGAAGCTCGCTTCGAACCTGAGAGAGGGCCACCGTTCCGAGTGGGAAGCCGTGCAAGCGGCAGCCGGGCTACCCCGCGATAGCCGCCGAGCTCATAGGCGATCCTTCGCCCCTCTCGAACATCTTTGAACTTGAACTCCATATCTTGCCGTTGCCACACGCCAATCTCAGCGCAATTGGCTTTCATAGAATACCCGCCATCCGTCTCATCAGCGAAGAATACGGCGCCACAGGTGTATTTCACTGAGTTGTACTGAGGCAGATACAACAGGTGAGAAGAGGCCACGCAAGAGCCTTGCTCGTGGTGGATGATGACTCATCATCCTACAGTGATCAGTCGTTCTCTTGGTCTCTTCGAATCTAGGTTGAGCTCAACCCGCATGTCTTCGATCTCGGGATCTGCCTTGCTAACGTTTACTCGTATCTGAACCTGGCCATCGTCATGACCACTACAAAGGAGAGCGATTACAGCATAGGTGAAGTAGCCCCAGCTAGCGGCGAAGTCGCTCGCCACGTAGCTCTTCTCAAAAGGGATGCTCAGAGTGACCTTCCCTTTAGTTTCCTCATTACAGTCGACTGTCACAGTAAACTGGGAGCCAGCTGAAGGACGATACAGAGACGATGACGCCTGACTGACTAAGACAGGCATGCTCGACACCTTCATCCGAGGAGTAGCCCCTCTTGGAAGTTCCCTGGTCGCGAACTCGATCACAGTCCAAAGAAATTGGCTCAGACTCCCCTCCAACAGTAAACTGAAGAAAGGGCTGATTGACTGTGCTTCGGAAGGCCTGGGCTGCCACCTCTAGCGTCCGGCGAGTAGCAAAGTAGTGTTCGGGAGAGTGATCGACAGCAGCTCTCACGAGCTTCAACTTTTCACCGAGAGAGGCAGAGTTGAATACAGGTGACTTCGATAGATAGTCCTCAACCATTTCCACCTGAACACAGACCGATGAAGAATTCCAAGATAGCCGCAATTCCTGGCATCATCAGGGCGGCGGGGCTCTGTCAGTGACCTACCGTAGTGACGCCTCCCCACAGTACAGCAAAGTCTGCTGCTCCATGCTGGTCCTTGAAGTAAAAGCGGACAGTAGAGAGGCCACATGTGCTTTGAACCACGAACTTCCCGCCGAACGAACGGTAGATCGGTTCCTTCACGGGCTTGCACCGAACATAGGGCTGCTTCGAACCCGAACGCCTACTGGTCAACTGAACGAGAATGAAACCGTAGCGATAGGTTAGATAGCCGAAGCCATCCGCTTTACCGCGACAGCATTCCCTCTGTAAGCTGCGACGAGGTAATAGGTTCCGTCACCGAGCTCGACAGCTTCACACAAATCGCTAACGTCTTCCGATATCTGCAAGGAACACCCGAGTGTAGTATGCCACCATCTCGTAGAGCCAATACCTCTTCATAGTCGCTATTCGCGATGCTGACACCAGCTACAGACAACGGTGTTACTGAGGCTATGAAAGAGGCGAGCAATATTGCCAATGACGGCGATGTTGCCAGTCGCTTTACAAGAGACCGAAGTGGTCCGCCACGACACTCTGAAGCTACAGAGTCACGCATGATTGTCCGGTTGAGTGCTTGTAGTCACAGACAGGAAAGGGCTTGAGACGGCAAAGAGCCGACAAAAAGAAGAGGCCTAGTCACAAACAGGGATGAGGAAAAAGGCCATCGCATCCCCTTCGTAGTTGAGTCTACGAACTATCGTTTGACAACGAAACGCAGCGAGAGTAGCAATCACGAAACTGATCAACATGAGCTTGTTATGGCAAAGACTACCCCGACTGCACGGGCACAGTGATGCTGAACGCGGCGTGTCCGGATTACTTCTAGAGAGGTTCTGTCGTTCTGAGACGCTCAGTGGCAGATCGCCAACAAATAAGAACCCAACCGTTCAAAATCTGAGGGCCAATCAAACGTCAGGGATCCTGTTCACCGAGGCACGCTGATAGATGTGCGAATTTGCGATTTGGAAGTCTGAAACTGAAGACGACGTCGCTGGAGAGTCCACCACGGGGGAAAAGCAACTTGATTGGCGGACTTTTCGAGTCCTGGAGATGATGCTTGTCGTGGCACGCCGGGGCGAGGCTTTGTGTGACGGTCGTGGGCACAGCCCCCCGGATGTGTAAGCGGATCCTGCCAGGAGGAAAGGAAGTCTCTCTAGTTGAATATAACCCTGAGAATAGCTTCTTGACAATCTATCTGATTGCACCGCATGTCAATGCTACAGAAAGTCTCCTAACTGTGCACATTGGCAAGAGTCTAACTAAGCCGGAACCGGCGTTGGACTATAAACTCACACACACACACACCATAGGTTAGGTGGATCGAAATTCTCATCAGGCTTTTGACTGTGAGCCGATTTCGCACCAGGCGAAATTTCTATGATGCAAAGGTTGGGAGTGTGAACAGTGAGTGGCTCTGCTCTGGCCTCCGCGATATCCAGCAGTGTCAGAGCCAGCGACCAGGCAGTAGCCTGTGTCTGCTGCCAACTATCAGTTGGATGCCACCACGGTAACCATGGCACGGTTCAGTAGGACACGAGAGCTGCCAGACTCCATACCCAATCTGGGTCGACTCAGGAGTCTCCAGTATCCTACCTCCACATCCAGGGAGCGGAGGGCTGGGTAAAGCTCGCATCCGCCATCATTACAGCCATAACTTCATGGCTGTTTCTAGTGCTAGCACCTTGCTAGCTCTAGCATTGAACTATACTCACTACCATAAGTCTCTTGTTAACTTTGGCGCGCACAAGCCCCGTTAGGGTGCGAGAAGTTCCAAGTTCAATTCTCGGCACAGCCCTCATACAAACACATTACAAGGCGTGGGGAGTTTCCAGCTCAGTCACTGCTGCCCAGAGCGACCCAATAAACCAGCCAAGACATGGCTGTGTGGTCTAGTGGTATGATTCTCGCTTAGGGCTGCGAGAGGTCCCGAGTTCAATTTCTCGGCACAGCCCTCATACAAACACATTTACAAGGCCAGGGGAGTTTCCAGCTCAGTCACTGCTGCCCCAGAGCGACCCAATAAACCCGCCAAGACACGGCTGTGTGGTCTAGTGGTATGATTCTCGCTTAGGGTGCGAGAGGTCCCGAGTTCAATTCTCGGCACAGCCCTCATACAAACACATTACAAGGCGTGGGGAGTTTCCAGCTCAGTCACTGCTGCCCAGAGCGACCCAATAAACCCGCCAAGACATGGCTATGTGGTCTAGTGGTATGATTCTCGCTTAAGGTGCGAGAGGTCCCGAGTTCAATTCTCGGCACAGCCCTCATACAAACACATTTCAAGGCCAGGGGAGTTTCCAGCTCAGTCACTGCTGCCCAGAGCGACCCAATAAACCCGCCAAGACACGGCTGTGTGGTCTAGTGGTATGATTCTCGCTTAGGGTGCGAGAGGTCCCGAATTCAATTCTCGGCACAGCCCTCGTACAAACACATTACAAGGCGAAAGGAGTTTTCAGCTCAGTCACTGCTCCCCAGAGCTACCCAGTAAACCCGCCCAGACACGGCTGTGTGGTCTAGTGGTATGATTCTCGCTTAGGGTGCGAGAGGTCCCGAGTTCAATTCTCGGCACAGCCCTCATACAAACACATTACAAGGCGAGGGGAGTTTCCAGCTCAGTCACTGTTGCCCAGAGCGACCCAATAAACCCGCCAAGACATGGCTGTGTGGTCTAGAGGTATAATTCTCGCTTAGGGTGTGAGAGGTCTCGAGTTCAATTTTCGGCATAGCCCTCATACAAACACATTTCAAGGCCAGGGGAGTTTCCAGCTCAGTCACTGCTGCCCAGAGCGACCCAAGAAATCCGCCAAGACACGGCTGTGTGGTCTAGTGGTATGATTCTCGCTTAGGGTGCGAGAGGTCCCGAGTTCAATTCTCGGCACAGCCCTCATACAAACACATTACAAGGCGAGGGGAGTTTTCAGCTCAGTCACTGCTCCCCAGAGCTACCCAGTAAACCCGCCCAGACACGGCTGTGTGGTCTAGTGGTATGATTCTCGCTTAGGGTGCGAGAGGTCCCGAGTTCAATTCTCGGCACAGCCCTCATACAAACACATTACAAGGCGAGGGGAGTTTCCAGCTCAGTCACTGTTGCCCAGAGCGACCCAATAAACCCGCCAAGACATGGCTGTGTGGTCTAGTGGTATGATTCTCGCTTAGGGTGCGAGAGAGCTGCGCGATATAGTGTGATATTCGCGCCGGAGGCGCGAAAAAAAATAAAAAAATAAGTTAAGAAGCCACTTTTTGTTAGAACACCTGTCTTATGGGTGATTGAAATAGAGTCTTTCTGTCTCTTCACGGATGAGGAATGGTCATTTAACGCGGGCTAGGATCCACTACAAATCTCGTCCTTGTAAGTTCCTCCACCTCCCGGCTGTCAGCCAGCCTATCATGGTGAGTAGTTAGAACTTCTGTACCTACCGATCTCTCATCGTGAAGTTCAGCGCTCTGTTAGAGGAGGTAAACCTCCTTCTCTACCGAGTCATTTGTTATCATTTAGCTCCCAGCCCTGCCACCATTGTAAAGCAGAAGAATTTCAAGGGGCTCTTCCGTGCACTGAGGTGATCGCGGTGCCACTCGGCTGACAATGAAAAATTCCCCGACCTTGCGTGGAAGCTCGTCGTAGAACCGCTCATATGTCCAAATAGAACAGTCCAATCCGCTTCTCTTCCGAAACCCAAACGCCACTTATTGCATCGAGCGTAATCCCATTCTTCCGAGCAAGGGGTTGTAGACAAAGCTGGTTGGCTAGGGGCCGATTGTTTGGGGTCTCGTTTTTTCTTGTCTTGTTTCTTGGAATTCGTTCCTGATAATAGGTCTCAGGGTTCCGACCAGCATTTCTAAAGAGAAGGCATTAGTCCGTTCCTCATCTGCGCTGGTGCCCGCATTCGACGCTTGACTTGTTTGAATGGCTATCATAAAAGGGTCTCATTGGACTTGGAGAGTTTCTCGTTCTCCCGCAGCACGCTGAGCTTTAGATGGTCTCCCCCTACCCGGCAAGTTCTTATCAACTAACTGAACCGGAATTGTGCTGGAATGCCAACCAAAGGCACTGCTAGTAGGGCGGTACTACCGCCGCGGTAGTCACGCTCGCTCGCCCGTGGCGCGTCGCGGCACGCGTCACGGCGTCGCACATGTCCGCAAAAGCCAGCACCTTTCAGACTCTTTTCACATGATCAAAGTCTTCCAAAAACAAGAATGAAATGAGTCTAACACCCGGCTATTTGATTCTACCGAGAGAATTGAAAAACCTGGTAAAGGAACGAAGAAAAGCTTACATTTGGTCTAAAGGCTGGTCTAGCGGTGGCCTAGCCAACGATAAAACTCAATTTCTGGGCATCCAGGGCACCTTCAAGAAAACCGAAATTATAATGAAATAGAGGACTCCGCACTCCATTTCATGTAGAAAAAATCGCCTTCTAAAGTGCCTTGGTGGTTTTTTTATTGTCTCTTTCCCGTCTCGGTGGTCTAGCACAAACAATGGCGCTTGGGTGGCGAGAGGTCCCGAGTTCAATTCTCGGCATAGCCCTCATACAAACACATTACAAGGCGTGGGGAGTTTCCAGCTCAGTCACTGCTGCCCAGAGCGACCCAATAAACCCGCCAAGATACGGCTGTGTGGTCTTGTGGTATGATTCTCGCTTAGGGTGCGAGAGGTCCCAAATTCAATTCTCGGCGCAGCCCTCATACAAACACATTACAAGGCGAGGGGAGTTTTCAGCTCAGTCACTGCTCCCCAGAGCTACCCAGTAAACCCGCCCAGACACGGCTGTGTGGTCTAGTGGTATGATTCTCGCTTAGGGTGCGAGAGGTCCCGAATTCAATTCTCGGCACAGCCCTCATACAAACACATTTCAAGGCCAGGGGAGTTTCCAGCTCAGTCACTGCTGCCCAGAGCGACCCAATAAACCCGCCAAGACACGGCTGTGTGGTCTAGTGGTATGATTCTCGCCTAGGGTGCGAGAGGTCCCGAGTTCAGTTCTCGGCACAGCCCTCATACAAACACATTACAAGGCGAGGGGAGTTTTCAGCTCAGTCACTGCTCCCCAGAGCTACCCAGTAAACCCACCCAGACACGGCTGTGTGGTGAAGTGGTATGATTCTCGCTTAGGGTGCGAGAGGTCCCAAGTTCAATTCTCGGCACAGCCCTCATACAAACACATTACAAGGCGAGGGGAGTTTCCAGCTCAGTCACTGCTGCCCAGAGCGACCCAATAAACCCGCCAAGACATGGCTGTGTGGTCTAGTGGTATGATTCTCGCTTGTATTCTAAATTTCGAAATTGGCTTACCAAATACCCCGAAAGCGAACAAGACAGTCCAACTCTTCTTTCTCGGAAACTGCTTGCTCCCACTTCGTCCCACTGAGCTTACAAATATCAAAAGGGGGCAGTACGCGCACGCAAATTGACTTCGCGCTTCCTATTACCAAGAAACTACTATGGGGTAGTGAACTCGCCCATCGATTTGACTCCAAGTCCCCATTCTAAACTATACATACCAACAGATCTTCAGCTCAAAATACTTCCTCACGCAGAGAAAAAACAATGACCTCAACTTCAATGATCAAACGCGAACGAACTATGATTCCTTCCTGCGTTTTCAACACCAAATAAACACTCACTTGCGTCCCTTCAGTATCTGCACTTCCCACCAATCCCAAACCACATCATCCACGATCACGGCAACTTCGAGCGAGACCATGCCCCAGGAATGGTTACCGTATCTGTAATACGGAGATAAACGCAAGCGTCGATCCTCAGTATACAGCAAAATTACCCTTGATCTAGTACACTACCCAAACGGCTCTCGACGTCAGGTGTGCCCAATTCTAGACCTCGCACCTCACTCATAGCGCGGGGTCCGAGAGATTGACTCACCTCGTGGCCCACTTGAATGTTTTCGAAAAGACACATCAAGGGAAGAAGTTCCTGTCGAAAAAATGGAGCCAAGGAGTGGCTGGAAACCACCGCAAGGTAAAAACATGTCCAATATAACTGCCCCGGCCGCTCAATCTATCTCCCATTTCATCAACCAAACACACCAAGGGGACCAAGAGACAGAATAACACCACCATGAACGAACTGTCCTCAATGGACGATGGCAGCAGTTTTCAAAGCCGCCACCGCTGCATTGTGCTCGTCCACCTGAAATGGCGAATCACTACTGCGATGAACTGAGAAGAGCATGGAGAAGATCACTTCAGTTTGCCTCGCGGAGACGTAGGACGCCAAGCGCGCCGACATCTCAGGATGAAGTCTAGTCCCTAAAAAAATACCGGTATTGACCATAAGAGTAACAATGAATTCAGAGACGAGCAATCCAATTATCGATATGTTCTTTCGCGTAAAATCAGGATCTCATTACACCTCCAAGAACAGTGGACTTACTCTGACCAGAGTTCAAATCAATGTAGAAAGTGCCATCGAAGAGCCACCCATTGGGAAGCTCTCTCCTCTCTGTGTCCTTTAAGAGTGCTTCACGAACATCAGCCGGAACAACCTGCAGAGCAGCACTGGTCGGGAGCATCGCCACCCGAGCTGTAGCCTTGTCAATCGACGATGGGCGGAGCGGGCTATAACTGAAACTACTTTACCGATTCCGTCAGAGATGCCTTATGGAGAGATATTTCTGGGAGGCACTCTTGCAGTACGAGAGCCATGAACTCCTGAAGTCGGAATGAAAGCTCCACCGGCGACTCATCAGGCCCGGCAATGACCTTTCCTATGCCCGAGGATATCGAACTCGATCGGCGGGTGACGAGGAACCTTCCCTTGATTGACGGCGGACATGTGCTGCTCGCTGGATGATCGTCACCGACCGGATAGCTCCAGTGCGCCCCTTAAAGAAGCAGTCCCTCATACGTAGCGGTCACCGTTCGTACATGTTTTAGCCCTAACACGTTGAAGAAGGGCATCAGCCGGTTCATCGTCATCAGCTAAGACACCCCGGACCTCGGCCGAGAGGAGTATCGCCCCGCCAGAGAGTGGCCATCTGAGTTGCTCTCTGAGGTGGCCAGAGAGCGGCCATCAGCTACCCACCTGTATTCGGGGTCAAGATACCGTCCTTCATAACCAGCGCCAAGATGACGGCAAAGCCGTGAGAGCCTAGCCCGAGAGAGGGCAGCGCCGGCGCCAGTTGCCGGAAGCTGTGACACGGAACGGAATATCACGCAGAGGCTGACCGTTCCGCGACCAACCTCTAATTCGATCAGCACAACCGACTGCGGCTTTGTTGCCAACAAACTGGCCCGTTCTCTCGCAGGATACAGACACGACATCGATCGTGATTCCTTGAGCTCATTGATGATGTCAACTGGCCTCTCCGTTCCACACGCGATGAGCGGTACCTCAACCGAGCACCTCTCTGCGGCTGGGATTGGACAGCAATCTCCCATGGCAGCACTACTCCGCTACATATCCGTTTCAGGTCGGTCTGAATCGCACGCTCTGCCTCGCTCGCACTCCCGGGGTCAGGCATAGCAATTGCCTTTACAAAGGCGAACCAGACGGCCGACGAGCGGATTTCGAAGCCTCCTATCTCGGCCGGCAGGAAAGTATCTTAGGTTGACCACCGCTCACAACTGTGACACGACTAGCAGCCTTACGTTTCTGGGTCTAGCAATGCCACGATCAGGCCCACAAAATCAATCTTGCTCGTCAAGGTTATTAAGTACGACAGTGACTGGAGAGACAGATTGCATGGCCTCTCCACGAGGACGGCATCCTCACATCCTCGATGCATGTTGTCCAAATCAGAAATCGGCCCGCCATACCATCTTTTTCATTGGCGGTCGGGCCGTATCGTAATTGCTGACACTCAGCACCGAGATGAGCAGCTAGGTTCTTGGCTAGACGGTGTGTAGACGCTTCCGATCCCGGCAGACCAGCCACGAATAGCACCCCCTCAAGAGACATGACCTCGGCGCATGGCAAAGTGAATCGCCTGGCGAAATTGCTCTTATCCCGCTCAGTGAATCACCATCGGGCCGATAACATCGGTGGAAATGCATCCACGTCACCTCAGTAGCTGCTCGTTAACTGAGAGCTGTGGGGTTTTCTCCTCTCTCAGAAACCTCGTCACCTATGACTGACCTCGATTGTATGGCACCTGCATCTCCAACTACCTCAGGCGGCAGATTGTTGATGTTCTTAACCCCAATGATGATACCACGATCGCGCCAATGCTGCAAGACGCGCGAGGGTGAAGGCTGATAGTCATCATCACCCGCAGACTGTAAGGGATGGACGAGTCAGCTCGGAGACGAGGATGTGCCGGCTATCCGGAGTCATGGTTACCCACGGCCTGACCAAGTATGATCTCTGACACTCGTCGCTAGGTCGGCGAGCGTAGGTATGAACGGCTGATGTCAAGTCGGCAACGTTCTGACTATTAAGACAGCCTAGCACCAAAGGTTGGAATGGAAAGTTCTGAAACCGTGGGGAAAGTATCGCTCAGTGTACCAGGGAATTCCCGTCCTGGTCAACGCCGATAATCCGCTAGTTCGCCGGACACACCATTGATCATTTGCAAATGGGGCCACGAAAGATACGACATACCCAGGGAGTCCACAACGGCGTTCCTTGGCGATACAAGGCACAGGTAGCGAATCGCGATTCTCTAGGAATACAGCATATGCCGAGGAGAGGGCGAATCCTTCCGAATATCCCTACCCGCCAGTCTTAGTGCCCTCAATCAGACACAATGACGATTCCTCGTTAATCTCGACCAAAAGCGCTCCCGGAGCCTCGCCAGAGGTGAATGCTAGACCACGACTGTATCTGTAATTCATAGGAGATCTCCTTCAAGGGCTCAGCCAGCCCTTTGTATTGCCATTGTACAGGTGTACATTGGTCTCAGCCATTGTAAACCGAGGCTAACGGCGTATTCGCCGAGGTGGCATCACCAGGCTCGTTGAACTAGCAAGCCCCTAACAGGCTACTCCTATCGGTGCTTGGGATCTCATTGGTCAGTGAACGTAGCAAACCTGATAATGAATTTCCGCTTCCCATGTCTTACATGCTCATCTTCGCCTGGGAGACGCCAACACGAGCGAGGATTGATCCTTCGGTAGCATGCAGTCTCCTGCCGGAATGAGCAGTTATACTCTGGGCTGATACCGACCTACCATAGCCCAATCCTGGACCGACACGTAGCGTCCGGAGGAGCAAATTGCAGCTCCCCCAGGTTGTGCGTCGGTCCAGCCTCGCCCATAGAGACCTCCTCATCCCCAATGGCTTCACTCGACATCTTGAGCAAGAGCCGTCCCATTTGAACCCCTTTGTGTTCCAACAAGAATCTAGCCGGCTAGTGATCCATCATCTTTGAGCGCTCGCAGCTCACCTTGAGGCATCAGCCTTCACGGCGCGGTGTGCTTCAACTTGCGACCTTGAACAACCCCAAGCTAGAGGTGTCAGCTGCGGAATTCGATCTCTGGTAACCGCGACGGCCTCCCCACTGGCTCCGAACTGAACGGGTTTCTGCATAGCATGAATGAGCCGTCACCTATCGCTACTACCATGTAAGTATCCCCGTACATGACGGTGACGTCCTTACTCGCGACCAACGCCTATCATGCTGACCCGTGGATTTTTCGTTTAACGCAGGCCTTTCCCACCGATATGAAGGCACAAGCAGTCTCAGCACGCCCCGGCCTCATCTGCGAAGTTGACCCCAAGGCGTCGA